TGCCGCAGAACTTAGAATTCGTGCAACTGAGCGGAAATCTCGGAGGAATACATAGACGTTAGAGCTTATCCATGACAGAGTTCCCCCCTATTTCGACGTTATTTCCGCTTGTGGAGTGCTTGCAAGGTTCTGCGCTTCTTGTTTTCTTCCTCTATTTCTTCGAGTTTCATTCTGAAAATTTCTCTGGAGGATAGATCGTCGAATTGATAGTCTTCATCAAGTCCTTCGTAAAGTAAGTAGGCGTTCACCATTAACTTCCTTCCATATTTTCCGATTATTTGATAGGCTAACTTGGACACGCTGCGTTTCGTGAGTATTTCTTTTCCCCAATACATTGCTAGACTTTTGTCAAAGCGTCTTCCTTTCATCATCCTAAAGTCCTTGCGCATTTGTTCAGCTATTTCTTTTCCCATTCCTTTTTCTATCGCCTTACTTCTTTTCACCTTCTTCTGAAAACTCTCATCGTTTCCACTAAACTGTTCCCATCTCTTCTCATCTCCAAATCTTCTACGGTCCTTTTTCCTTACTAACTCTACTCCTTCTATACTAACACTAACGCTACTACTTTCTTCCATTCCTCCCATCCACTCGCTAATCTCCCATTCATCACAATTGTTCAATGTTATCTGGCTCTTCAAGTTCCGACTGCCAGATTCTGATCCGTTCATGGGGCTTTGGATCTGGGGCTGCTCTTCGTTCCAATTCTCCATAGTTGCTGCTGTTATCATCCTGAGAAGATTGTTGGCTTCTGTAGTCATCATCAATACTTCCCTTGGGTGTTGCGTCCGCGATGCTTCCTTCTGATGTTGTATCAGCCTCAATTTTACAGGTGCACAAGTAGGTAGACCATCCAATAATCTATCTCCATAACTATTACTATCAATACAACAGAATGGAATCCATTCGAGATAGGCGTCATTTGGTGAGTTTGTTTGTGATTGAGATTTCTTGATAAACTCATCGAGTTGGCTATTTTTGCTAGTCCATCCATTGGACAATTGTTTATGTCCACATATGCACCACACGGGACTGCATCAGAGCATTCCACATGCGGAGCAGAATCCATATAGAGAGTAACAATGGCGAAACTTTCGATCAGCAACCATGTAATAGTTATCATTGTGTTTGGTAAACCCCCTTATCAGTTCGTTACGCCACAGAGACCATCTGGAATATCGTCTATATTGACTAACATTGTTCTTGTACTTGGGTGTCGGAAGTGAGTATATTCTAGCAAACTCACTAACAATTATTGGTGAGCATTCTTCACTGTTTCCAAGTGACACCAATATTCTCATGTCAGCATAATAAACATTGTCGATTTGAGTTGGCCTTATGTTGGTAATTTGTGAGGAAGAAATCCATTCAAGTCTTAGGGAGGATTGAATTAAGTTGTCAATCTCTGGATTATGCATATTAATATTGGGCACTCGACGACATCGGTTTTGATAAAGATTATCAATATTTTACAAATTTATTGTGACACAGCGCACATTTACGTTACACACATTACATTCCAGCACCATTCCGACGAAGGTTTCCAAAAAAGTTCGCTTGTTCGTTAACAGTTGCATACACCCGCAATACAGACATTCACTAAGTTTCCCTAACCGCTTTCCAATCAAACTTCTGGAACTAGGGGAAAATATGGATCATATTGTTGTCACAAGTAAACTTGTTTAAACCGGCGAGCGAGTCGATTTTGACCGGTTTAGCCAAAGAACGGTTCAGAAATTGACTTGTTCAATATTAACCTGAAAAATTTTTAACTTGTAGCTATGACTGACTCAGTTTCATATATTATGATCATATGTTAATAACTTGAGTTAATAACGCATCATGTAATATTAATATTCTAGCCAGTAATGGTCTGATAAATTCGAAGCATGGGTTGAGTTTAGCTTATTGTGTGATAAACTTTATTATTGTTTGATATTCAGGAATTGATAATCTATCCATGAATTTTGATAGCTTTACGTAATACAAATTCGCTATACAGTCTGCTAAGCTTCTCTGCTATCGTATTGATAAAACTCCGAACTCTATTAATGAATAAGAATAACGTCAAAATCGTAATATAGATGAGACTATTCAGATATAATTACTTACTTTGCAGAAATATCACTAATTTTGGCCTTGAACCAAGTCCGCAAGTCATTAAAGAAAACAACAATGTCATCAAACAGTTCGTCCAACCGTCTCATGAAGGCCGAAACCCCGGAAACGATCTGTTTGAACGTCTCGCAATCTTTTTTATAGACTTTTGATTGTATGTAACATAGTTAGTTCGATAATTTGTATCATTTTCAGTCAGCCAAGATAAAAAATTACCTATAAGCGCTTCTCTGTATTCCTCTTCTGTTTTATAACAGCTTTTTTCTGGCGCTGTAGGCATTTTGCTAAGAACTAAATTCTCAAGCGCCTTAGAGTGTTTTAGAAGAACACTGTTAAAGCTTTTAAACATTCGCTGTATACATCTTTCTATGTCAGCATCGCTCAAATTCTCTAAATCGGCTTCGACTTTTTTTGACTGAGTTTTAAAGAGAAAATGAATATTTAGTACGCTAATTTAATTGATGTGAAATAAGTAAACGCCTACCTCCCGTTCAAGATCACTCTCAGCTAGCCAATCAACATGCATTTTATTAAACTTTGGACAGCAAAACTCTGATCAACTTATCGTATCGACTTGAGCTGCTCAATACAACAAGTGCATGTTTTGTTGTTTGAAATAACGTTTGTTTTAAGTTTTAATGCAAAGCGAATTATGAATATTCCCACGGTTTATTCGTCCGTCAATTTGTGTAATAGCTTAATTGTTGCATCGTTTTTTCCCACCAATTGCGTCGTCTTTAACTCGAGATAGTATCAACTTAACTGAACATATTCCGTGTAGCAAATGAAAACGGTAGAAAAAATTTATTATCCCATTGCCGAGAAACCATATTTTTAAGGCAGAATACAACAATTGGGGGGGAAAGTCGTGAGAATCAATGATACTTATTTTCGCTTCTTGAAAAAATGGCTGAAATGCAACAATCCACAGAGTTGACGAATCTAAATTTGTCTGTCAGCACGATTAGGATGTTGAATTGCTACATCAAAGACGGAGAAGAGAATTAAAGACAAGGCTTGTTTCGGATGTCTTCGCAAAGTAATAATATTATCAGAAAGGATTGTATAGAGTTATTAAAAATGTATCTTGGTAGCAATGGCCCGCATATTTTTTATAAGAGTTAGCTGACAACAATGTCAGTATTGTTTCGTGGAATTTTCGTATATTTTTGTATGATGAGTTGAGTCTCCACGAACTCGTGCAAAGTAGATGAGGCAATAAAAAACATTACACCGATAGTTCACATAAGATACATCTTATTGTTATCACTTGGCTAAACTTTTTGGCCATTGTTTGTCAAACACGATTACAGTAATTTTCATGTAGATCTTCGCGGAATTTGAGAAAACCTAGTTTTTGTGGTCAGTGCAGCCTTTTCGCTCCTAAAATTATATTATCCATGTCATAATGACGATGAAACGTAAGCGAGTCAAGGCATGTAACAAACAATATTATTATAAAGTACAGGCAATACTATAGTGACCTGAGTTCGTATATACACCTATTCGTCATGATAACCGAAATCTTAATCTGTTAAATGACAAATAATAGCCATCTAAACCAAGAAAATATGTCTGCGCTTAATCTCTTTTTTACTTTTGGTTTTATTATCCAATAGATGCAATTTTGCGATTAGTTAAACACCAGGTAACTATCATTATTATATGTTTAAGCATGCCATAAATTGACGTAGTCGTATTCATGCTCGTACCTTTTGCAATCTTGACAATAAATATTAATGCGAGTATTGTGAACGTTGATAATCATACTTTTAACCGGTGTATGAGTTATCATTATTCGATCTAGTAAGATAAACCAGTCGTTAGTATTTTAAACGTCACCGTAATACGCAATCCCGATAACGTACACACAATATTTCTAGGGACATTATCCCATTCTGTTAACGTAGATGCTATTATTAATATACGTTACTAGATAATAACATTAATAACCTCAAACCACAAAGCAAAAATTTTTATTCCGTTACAGTAAACCGTGACATGATGATATCGATTAATAGCATGCCGAGGTCGGGATACTTATGTCTCCGTCGTAGGATACTTTTTGCCAATTCCACCCAAAAGAGGTTGCCAAAAGGGGTTGACACCATATTAACTAAAGTTTGTGAAGCTGGTTGAACCGCAATAACATAATGACTAATATGCATATCCTGTTCAACTTTTTATTATTTTGAAAACCAATATGTGCTTTTAAATTCAAGCACCAAATATCATCATATACATTGTTTCTATAGTTAAGTTGTAGAAATCGTCTTTTAGATAAGCTGTTGGATGAAATCTAAATGCCAAACCGAAGTACGTCACTAGCTTCATGATTCTCAGCTGCATTACCAGAATAACACAAACCAGAGAAACGCAAGAAACAGCTTTTTTTTTAAAAGCTGTTGAAATACCACAATCTTTTTCATAACTCCACTCATAAAGAATCTTTTGTAGTTCAATAAGCCGTCTCCAAGTTGTGTACCATGGTTCACCTGATGCTTCAACCTGGAACGCTCTTGCAAGATAATCCCAGGTCAAATTCACCAAGAAAAATTTCAATGACAAACTAGTCATTTTAAGCCCCATTTTAGCTAAAGCAGGAAGTAACAGAAACAAGTAGGTCTTCAATGCTGCTGCAATTGATCACGCTATAGGCTTTCATCAATACCTGCGTTGCCCGTACGCAGAGAGGAATATATCCCCCGTTTATCCATACCAGCTTACTGATCTTCGTCAAGTTATAAAAATTTCGTTAATAAATTTAATAATTATTTTGGGTAAATTGGCAGTCATCCGCCGTGATATTAATAATGTGATACTTATTACAGACTACTAATTGTTTCAGCATTCCAATAAATTGCACTATATCTTCCCTTTCCTCAATTAGTGTACTTCCACGCTTATGCATAATAACAAGTACATGTTACATTTTTTTCCAAAATAAACAATTAACCATACCATATTATACATCATATTACGCAAATTACTAGAACATAAAATTCAGTTCTATGACATAAATCGAAATATTTATTTCTAATACTAATGCAAATTGATTATCTACACCAGAGCAAATTTCCCAACTAATCACGTAAGGCGCGCATATCAAAAATTGATATCGCAAACAACCACAGTAATTATACCATAATAACATAAAATCAAAGCATATACTCAATATGTCCCACTTCTACCTGTCAAATGATGACCCAAAATATCATCTGCCATAGTTAGCGCACAAAAACTTTCCAATTTTCTCTCCGTAAAACATTACGTTTATTTTTTTATACTGTTAAATATGTAAAGCGTACCATTTAACAAGGTCGAAGAAACCAATTATCATAACAATAGTAGTATTTCCCAAATACATCAAATTATGTCATCGACTAGTGAGATTTACGCTTGTCTTTTTCCATATTGTTAGACATGTAAAAAAGTATTATCCACGCAAGAGAATAGCCCCTCCAAAAAATTTTTAGTTTCTAGTTTTACCTAATAAAAAAATACTAATTTTTTCCTATGACAAATAAAAAGTATGTCATCTAATTGTTGTTATTGATTTGAATTCCATGACAACAAAATGTTTCCGTTATACTGTACATGTTTATACATAACAGACCTGCGAAGAATTACCCATGTAATTTTGCCAATCGTTTATAGTAATGGTAGGGGCATTAAAATTTTCAGTTTATATGCATGTTGATGTTGACTAAACCCTACAAACTAATTAAGAAATTCGGTCACAACAAAAGCATCAAATCCTAAGTTTTGCTGATAGTAAAAGATTAGCGAATAAATTCCTTAAAGTAAGTGTGTTAGAAATTAACTTTATAAGAATAATGGTACGGTTAATGTTGTGACTCAAACTTCCATTTCTGTTTCCTTACGTTGAATATTAATTTGTCCGCCAGTGATTTCTCAACAAGGGCTATAACATCGAATATTACGCATCCAAATAAGTAACCTACAAAAAATTAATACACTATAGTAAATGAGGTACTTATATTTGAAACTGTGCGGTCTGTTCGTATCCTGATACTGTCTTTCCGGTTTTCAATTTTACTTCTTGGTTTATATTATGCTGGTGGGTTACAGTATGAACAGTCTTACAAAACTTTTGTTTGGTAAATATCGTATTTATAATAATTTAAGTTTTTCGCCACATAATAAAAAAACAATTTGTTCCATCCACTATGTCCACTCCTTTTTCACCCTATACCCTGCGGTAATTTCGAATGAAAAAGTTTGATCTACCCCCGGGTTACACATGTCGGAGAAATACGGCTGACTGTAGACATTTTGTCTCTATGATGGCGTGCGTAGTCGCATAAAATTACAAATGGGCCCCCATAAAGAGATAGAATTAAGAACCTTTAATGTGATAGTTCTGTTCTTAAATAAGAATGGATCCTTAATACTTCGAAACACAAATATGTTCATGTGAAACAATATGACCACAATCAGCTGTCATTTATTACAATGCAAATCGATAAGACTTAATTACAGAAGTTATAACAACAACGACAACAGCTATGGCCTCAATTGTCTCCGATAGGGACTGGTTAAGGAAGAATATTGAAGACGGTAACATTCGGTTTTATTCTTTCGACGACTTTATTGACCAGGTGTGCATCGGCGCCGGAGCATTTGGAGTAGTTTTCAAAGCGAAAGCAAAGACACTATCTAGGACGATCGCATACAAGCTTCTTCTTTCACAAA